TCAAATACAGGCCATAATTGTGACTATCCGTCTTAAGAATTATTTGTCACTTCATCACAAGACCTTTACTCCAAAGGTGCCACACATTTACATCTTTTCAATGGCAGCATTTAAGACTGACCCTCTGGCTGGGAGAGCATCTACATTTTGTTACTCAGATTACTAAATAAACACCACTTTTGGACAGGAGGCTATAAATGGCTCTAAAAACACCTTTGGGAATGAGCCATCTAGTGGTAAGAGTTTAAGTGACAGAGGACAAACATTTTAGAAATGAGTGACTCATGTATATATTTGATTCATATCTTGCCTCGTCAGTTGGATACAACCCTTTGGAAGGAGCAATATTTCTAGCAGTAGTGGACAAGACAGTTGATGGTTTGATCAGTACTATCCTGGAAACGGCCATGGTGCAGGTTTATCCTAGGTTGTTAATGTTAGTCAATATCCTGTCATATGTCTGCACCCCATTCATACAACACCAGCTTTGGTAATATTAATTTGGTAATATTACACCAGCTGTAATATTAATTCATCGGAAATTAATCTGTCAGTAGAATCAAAGGGCTGGTTTAGCTTTGTGCCAAAATGAGCAAAAAAAATGCATGGACATGAGACGCTACTAGAAAAAATTCTTTCAGAAATCTGTCTGCTTTATATTATCCAGTGTTGCATGTAGAAAAAGTTACGTTCAAGCTCTTGATTTTCCTAAATTAAATGCATGCTAAGGCATTTATTTGGAATAAATATCCACATTCCCCAGAACTGGCCATACGTAGATCACAGGACTTCTGGCTAATATAAAGAGTTTAAAAACAAAAGCTTCACATCTACACATCTATGGCTACATTGAGAAAGGAAAGGAAAAAGGCTGTGTACTTACCAGCCAGTACAGACCAGGCTTTATTAGTATTAGTCATCAGACTATCACAAAACAAAAATATAAGTACCTGTATAAAAATGAGAGTGTGTATTTTATGGCATTATGGATTTTCAGTTTGACTGCAAGCTATGGACTGTGGATTTTAACAAGGACCACCATGAAAAAAGATAGAAGCATTTCAAATGTGGATTTTGTTGTATATGTTATGAACTGATTGCCTAAGAGGGTAACCAACCAAGTAGTATTTAAGATAATGCATAAATAGTCTGAAGACTGTGTTCTCACAACTAAATAAAACTCATTCAAATCAGAGCTGACACAGAAATACCATTTTCAAAAATGGTAGGAGGAAACAAGGATGTTAGCAGAACAGCTAATGGTGTTCTCTAGACTACTGACACAGTCCTTGCACAGAGGCAAATTGTATGCACACTGGCCCTGCCTATGTGATTACACACACACACAGAGGGGAGGGGAGGGGAGGGAGGAACAAGGGTGAGGGAAGAACCCAACTCCCCTGCTTGTGGGGTAGCAACCAAGATAATAACTTTAAAATAGATGTATACATGAACTCATCACTTGCATAGGAAGCGCATCACTTGCAAAGTACAGAATAACATTTTCCTGCCTACACAATTCAGGATCTTTAGGTCACAGCTCTAAGTATCCTTGGCACATGTGGTGGTGGGGGGGGGGGGGGCTTTCCCACATTCCCCTTCATTCATGGCAGTGAAACTTATGCACCTCTTCCCTGATGCTGCAAGCCACAGAACTGACTAGCATGGGTGAGAATGTACAGATGCCTGTCTGCCAGACTCATCTTTGCTGCTGATCATTTGGACATTTTACTTAGCTCCTCACATGTCTTCGCTGACATGTAGGGTCAACCCCGTATCACCTTCTTCTCAGCTACTTTATAAAATCCCTGAAAATGGCAGGCGCCCTCCACATTGCAAAACCAGCTGGCCCATCGAAACCTACCCAACATCCTTCCCTGTCACTTTTTTGTCCCCATCTTTTTATCTATAAATAAAAGTATCCCAAGCACAGGTACAATCACACTGACAAAGAAAGGTATCTTATGTGCATATCCAAGTCTTAACGACATCTGTACCCAATCGTTTTGTTTCTAGCCAGAATGTATTGCAAAAGCTGCCATTTTGAGTGAATGGAGAGCCCGGGCTGCAAAACCCATTTTTTATAGCCAGCTCATTTCCTGCTCAGCCCTCACCCTCACCTAATCCCAGCTTGGATAACCAGTTTTACAGAGGACAGTCCTCTATTATAAGGTGTCATCCATTCCAAGTCCAGTTTAAAAATAGAAAATTCTAAAAAGCAAGAAGGGCCTTGAAGTTGCTCATCCACCCGAGCAGCTGACTGATGGGCACACAGATCACTAGCCAGTCTCTCACTTTATGGAGAGTTGCATTTTATTTCTCTTTAGATTATAGTGTGGGTGGGTGGGTGCATCTGTTTCTATCTATGATCTGTTCTCTCTTTTTGGTAATGCATTTCTCGTTTTTCTCCCACATGGGGTAGGGACAAGTGATGTGTAAAAGGCCGTCTTACGAATTGCCACAAAGGAGGAAATGCATCAAGCAAAAAAAAAGAGGCCAAAAGGACCATCAATTTGCATGCATTTTGTTTATGCCAATTTCTATGTATAGTTGCAACTTTAGAAATACTCTAATTTTACTAGAAATGCAGTACTCTCAGCATAATGTAGAAGACCAAGCAGGTGATCTCTGCCTGCCTGTAAAGTCTGCTACTCAAGGGCTAACAGCTGGTGGGCAAGAGTTTTTTTATGCACACATGTTTTAATATTTAAACCAGGGCTGAACAGGACAGCTTATCAAACAGAAGACACCTTTAAATGGAAGCAGTTCTTTAGCAGCCTTCCAAACAGTGGTCTATCCTCTATAAGAAAAGGACACCTGGACACCCTAAGTGGCCATATGACTTGCCACCAGGGTTGGGCTTGCAGGTACAGTCAACAGACAGGTCACGCTGAAAGACCACATGCAAAACACCCTCAGTGGTTGTCTTCTATTTTATACCACTGCATGGGACAGAAGACCAATCTGGATATATCACTATCCTGAGATTATGCCAAACACTCTCTAAAAGAAACACATTTAAGTCCATTTTCATTCAAAGACACCTTTTAAGAATTATATCATAATGCACACACTGAAAGAATTGCTTTCTGAAAACACCATCCAGCCAGGTTATCAATAGGACAACCTCAGAATAATTAAATGGAAGAAAGCATCACATCAATACAGTGGTTTTACAGAAACCTGTGAGATTTAAAACCACAATGCAATGAAAAAGTATTATTGAAAATGTAAGGGGATCAGGGAAAAATACTTCAAAATGATTATCATTGGTTATATATGCCCAGTACAGTTGCCACTTGTTATATGTAGAATGTTTATATTGCTTAACATTCTTTCTTTTATGGGCCTGTGAAATGCACACACAGATAATTTATTTCTGATAAACACTTTTTTCATGAGACTAAATCCATTGAGCAGCTGTCTTCTTGGGATAAAAAGTTTGCATTATCTGAAAAGAACATACATGCATTCTTATTAAGTACAAACTTTTCAAGAGGGACTTTTAAACTTGGATCATCAGAATATATAATCTGGGGAATTTTTAACACATACACACACAGATTATATACACACTCTAAACAGTGTATGTATACTAGTGTTTTTCCCCAAAACTCTTGTTTGCTACTCATGTTGAGTTTCACCAGAGGCATGCTGTCTTCTGACAGCAAGAGATAAAGCTGATTGATACAAATGAGACAAAGTTCCCTTGAAATTTAGAGTGATTAAATTCCCATGTAAGAAAGATGACTTGAAGAATTAAGTGTTGTGTTATCCTAGAAGATGCAGCTGTATTCAATGAAGGAAAATAGAAGCCATTTCCCTTTAGTACATTTTGTTATATAAATGAACAAGGAAATGAAAGGATGTAGTCGCATTTTAAACAGAAATATATTTACAGGGAAACGTATGTGCCCTACAAGTACACTCATCACAGAGCTATGACTGGCTGCACTTTCATTTATCGAAAGCATGGTAGCAAACCATGCTTTGTATTTCAGCAATGTATGAAACAGCTCTGTGCAATGTGCAGTACAGCATTAACTTAATCTTAAATAATTATTCAGAAGGGATTGCTTACTCCTTTAAAAGGGAAGGCTGGGCTAGGCGTTGGACTTTGTCCATGCATTAAGTACCTGGGGCAACCTTGGGCTACTCTAATAGGAACCTACTTCACAGGACAGATGTTAGGATAAACCTGAGTGCCTGCATCTGTTTCTGTCAACAGGAGCTTATTGGATGAAGTATGGAATTAAAAAAGAAATGGTCCATAGTATGAACAACAATAGTCACTATGCACACAATCACAGTTCAGTTCAGACTGTGGAGCTGTGATATTAAGGGAGTATTTTTATACTTTATCCTGGTGAATCAATCTTAAGTTTGTGCTGAAGACATGTGTATGTGTAGGAGAGCTAATTCACTGAAATCACTGAGACCAGTGTCAGTGTCTCCTGTAGGTCATTCTCTTAAAGGAAAACTGCTCTAAGTGTCCAGAAAGTGGAGTGAAACATCTCTCTACAACATAATATGAAATCGGATACTGTTGTCAGTACAATTCCCCTCTGAGAAGGATAAATTGTGGTCAAGACCTGGACAGGTTAACTAGTGGTCATCCATTCTGGTGGTAGCTTTATATACAAAAAGAGGTCAACATGATTGGAGAAAAAAATTGAAACCTAATACCAGCCATGAAGCAAGACATCTGTTGGATTCTTATTCATTTCTCTTTAAGTGGCTTTAATTGAAAGCTCAGTGAAAAATGCAGGTTACAGTCTTTGTGGCATCAATAGCTTGCAGAAACAACTGAACTGTGATGCATCTAAGGTTTATTCACTTTCTAATTTTAATTAAGAGCAATACATTATTAGATATATATTTATAGATATATGTACACCACTTCAAGCAATTAATAGTAAATAATAATCCCTAAACCCTGAAATAATATATTTCCTCACATTAGGCATCTTTTTCTTTTTCTTTTTTTTCCTTTTTTTCTTTTTCTTTTTTGCACATATAATAGTAAATGGAGAGACATTCAAGTCACTTAAGAGCCATTTGTTTAGCTTAAGAGCCATATGTTAATGGAAATTCTGGACCAGCCTCTTCTTAAGTTCAACTTTATTTTATACAACTTGCTAGCCACATAACCAGTGCGGCTGCATGTTAAACATCTACAATAGTATGGAAATTACTTTGTGTGATGACCTGTATCTCAAAGTGGAATAGATTTAAACCAGTTTCAAAATACTCCCCGCAAAGGACAGTTTTTTCTACATAAAAGCTGTTGGCAAATGGATGTCAACTTATATTGAAGATCGTTGTTTTCAGTATAGAAAAGCACTGGCTCCTCAGACTTTAGCAACTATGGGAACACGCATGCTAGCCAACTGGCAGATTGCACACATTCTGGGTTTCTCTTTCATACATCTATCAGTTCTATGCAATGTAGTGATTCACAGCATAATCCTATACATCTGTACTCAGAAGTAACTCGCACTGCATTCAGTGGGGTTTACTTCCAGTAAATTGTGCTGGTATAAGATAGCACTGTTAGCCTCCTTGAAAGATTACATCAGCATGTCCTTCTGTTGTCTGTCATCACATGGGAAAAGGGAGGAGACAGAGCAGGTATTATGTGCTCAGCCAGAAACTCAGATGCAAGGGTACAAAAATCATGGTGGTAACTGGGTTGCTTATGAGGACAGGAAGCAAGGAGGAGAAGTATCATCAATCTTTCAGACCTTTTCCACTGAAGTGGGTTCGTACTGGCAAACCTAACTCTTAATCAATGCTAGTTCAAGGTCGAAATAGAGCATAGGAGTTTACAGCTGTGTGTGCAAAGAGCTATCCTCACACAGTCAAGAACCCTGAAGAAGGAATTTCTCCTGACCTGATTGCACAAAGGAAGTCCTGCACATATATTGTGGCATTCCCTGTAGACTTTGCAGGCCTTTAAATTGAGAATGCATAGATCAGGGCTGGAACAGCATGCACTCTCTCACTATCATTCACACACACATGTATGTATAAACTGATTTTCTGAAAGGGGCTTCCATCAGATGCATTGTCTTCAGTGAAGAAAAGTGTGGGAACAGTACAAGTTAGGGTCAATCCTGACTGCAGGACACTGATGCATGTCAGAACATGTATCCAATGAATGGCATATATCTATAAGAAAGGAGAGCACCCACTTTTGAGGAACACAGGCATAAGTATTGGCATGGTCATCATTGAAGATTAACAGAAGAGTATAAAATTGTTCCTCTCGCATAGGACAAAGGGTACCCAAACTGACTGAACATCTGTACAGGACTGCAGCAGTATTTGGAAATCTGTTTGCAATAAGCACACTGTATACATGAACAGACCTTCACTCATATAAATCATTATGAGTATAACTGAGTGTTTTCATTAGCTTGCACTTGCAAATTTCAAGTAAAAAATCAAAAGTACAAAACCTTCTGAAGGAAAGAACAAATATACATCACTAGAGTCTATAGGAATATTTATAGTATAACATATTTAACTCATAATGATATAATAATGTTACAAATTGAAACCATTTGAGGTTTTTGAATAGGAAGATTCAGAAGTCCAATCAGAGGCCCAAACTGAACAGAATCGTACAGTTTAGTTAGCACGTCTCAACTGCATTGTGAAGGCATCTGAAGATTCCTTGAGAGTTGCAAGAGGATGACTGAAATATTTGCAGTAGTTCATAGGGTCCCATCCAGTTTATAGAGAAAGTATGAAACATCTAAAGGGTAAGTTGAAGCTTAGTCATGTTCCTGTTGTGCATATTATGATGACGGACCAATTCATCAGATCGGGCAAATTTTTTTTGACAGCTGGGCCACCGACAACTGAACGGTTTTTCACCTGTCAATAAAACACATAATTATTAAACTAGCATAGACTGAAACCTTATCATCCAGTTCTCTGCCTGAGAACTCTGAACAGTTATGCAGAGAAGCCTTCCGCAACCTTTGCCCTCTAGATGTATTGGAGTACAACTGCCATCATTCCAACCAGTAGAGACCTGCCAGCTGGAGATTATGGGAATTGTAGTCCAGCACATCTAAAGGGTGCTGAGTTGGGGAAAACTGATGTAGCTCCAAGCTGAAGAATGTACCTAACTTTTGATCATAGAGGTAGTTGTTAAATCATTTGGAAGTGAGCAAAAGATGGAGATCAGAAGGAGAGATGGACCGTAATCTCTGCTTCTATAATTTTGTTTTAAAAAATCATGCTTCTACAATATTATGCTTGCTCTGAAAAGCTTGGAGTGGTTGAGGTGGGTCTTTCATCCAGGCAGTACCCAGAAGCAGACCCAGCTGGCTTCAGCAGATCATTTTCAGGGTAAGTAGATTTTTTACTATTTTGGAGCCTCAGGTAAGGCAGTTCTCCCTTTTACCTTCATGGTTTTTTGTTTGTTGATTTATACCCTACCAAGGCTGCTTACAGAAACTTGCCAAAACAGTAGAATCAACCATCTTGGCTGCCATTCACCATTAATCATATTAAGTCAGGGACAGGCAAGTTCTGTCAACTAAATAAATTACAGTAACCCTTTTGAACTAGAAGGCAACCTAATATAAACCTTTTTTTCCTGCCTACTTCTAGTCTCTTTCTGCAAGGAGAGAAGATGCATCAACCTGAAGAGGGCAGGTAACACCAAACTTGGCAAGGCCATACAAATAGGTACCTGGAGACTGAAGTTCTCAGAGTCAACCTATGTTATGTTAAATGTGCATTCACTTCCCATACTTGGATTCTCTCATGTCTTCTTAGTAGCAAAGGGCCCAATCCAGCTCAGAGCCATAACGCAGTTAAGCAGCATTCATTCACTGATGACACATATCCTAATCTGGAGCTACTGTCTGAGCCTGCAGCAGCTATTTGCAGTAAGTAGCAACTTTAGAGAGAGCAGGTTTCAGTGATAAAAGTGGTGAAGGAGGAAAACCTGAAATCCCTCTCCCACCAAACCATGGTCGTGATCCATATTACCACAGATCTATAAAGAAGAAAAGTGGGAAATTCTAGCAAAGGATTCACATGTACCTTTAACACAAAATGTAATTTAACCCTCATAGAGGAAGATGCAGAAAAAAATAATGGATTACTTGCAACAGGAACACTAAATGATGGAATTTTGTAGATGATCTATTTGCAGATGATAAAAGCAACAGACGGGTCTTATGATCATATCAATATATGATCGTATTGTCTCCAGCATCAATGGCCACTATTTTTAGATATTTAAAGTTCAGGTGTTCAAGTCTCATGTGTGGCAAACTAACATTGTTTCCTCCTGTTACATCTTTTTCTTTCTCTCAAGACAAGTTTAGTCTTGCTATTCTTCCATCACTCTAGTCACTAGAGTCTAGTGCATTGACTGAGGGGCTGACTAGGGCTAGTAAGTATCTAAGTAGTCATTCTGGGATTTCAGTCAACTAGAAGGACTGTGAACATTTCAGCAATTTTATGCTCCCTTGGCTTTACTCTTCTACCAGGTAGTGATGGTGGTAACTCTCTTCCTTCCTTCCTTCATTCTAAGCAATACTTTATCATAGCTAAAAACATAAATTATAATTGTTTATTTATTAGATTTATATCCCACCTTTTTCTTACTGAAAGAACTAAAGGCAACTTATATCATTCTCCTCCTGCTGCTCTCAACAACAACCCTGTGAGGTGGGTTGGGCTGAGAGTCTGTGACTGGCTCAAAGTCACCCAGTTGGCTCCACAGCCGAGCAGGAACTAGAACCCAACTGGCTGAAGCCCCAGTTCCACATGCTTAACCACTACACCACCCTTGCTCAATGTATAAATTAATACCATTTATGCATGCACTATTTCCTAGAGAAAAGTCTAAGCATTCACATCACAGCAAAATCAATTTAGATAAATTAAATTTAAAAATATAAATGGGAAAAAAGTATACGCACTTGTTTTACCTGTATGAGTCCTGGTGTGAGTCTTCAGGTGGTCAGATCTGGAGAACTTTCTCTGACAGGTTTTACACTGGAAGGGTTTCACACCTAAATAGATAAAACAAGTCTATACCCATATTCTAATACCTTTTCAGAGAAGTGAAGGATGCTAGTTATTTTGGAGTGTTCAGGCTATGCACACACTTTTTGTTGTTGTTTAATAATGGTTCTTTTTCTAACTATATCCCTACATGTCCCAATGGTCATTAATCAGATTTTTCAGCTATTTAACCTCTTACCACCCTATTTTCCTCTTCAACTCCAGCTAGAGCTTTCACAGTGTATTTGTTCCTGGCCAAGTAAGCAACAATTAACTCATCACAGGATTCAAAACTTGAGAAATGGTAAGTGAACTATTCCCTGTGGTGCTGATTGCTCTATTTACAGTATAGTGCCTTAGGCAATGTTCTCTTTGAATCTGAAAATTACTGCAGCACATATTTTTTCCACAGTTTATAACTCATGTGATTCTTAAAAAAACATTTAATCCAGGAGTTGTAAATCATCTCTACAGTCAGCAAGGGCCTTTAAAAATCAGCTGCATCTATTCCACATTCTTCATTACGAAGTCTAAAATTCTTGGAATTTTTCTTGGAATTCACTGTAGAATTCACTTCTATGGGATATAGTGATGACCACTATCCTAAGTTGGATGGCTTTAAATGGAGACTGGAGAAATTCATGAAGCAGAAGGTTCCAAGTGGCTACTAGTCCTGATGGCTATGGGCTACGAGAGGCAGTATGCTTATGTGCACCAGTTGCTGGGGAACATGGGTTGGAGGGTCCTGTTGCAGTCATGTCCTACTGGTGTGTTTTCTGTGGTTGACCATTGTATGAACAGAGTGCTGAACTAAATGGCTCCTTGGTCTGATCCAGCACGGTTCATTTTATAGTATTAACATTCAAGGTTTAATGCAAACAAACACAAAACTCCCTTTTCAGTAGTTCTAATAACTACTAGTGTAGATATTAGAACTCCAGAGATTCCCAAAATCATGGATTATATTGTAGAGAGAACCACTGAGCAAGCTTGTTAGTTCTTAAGGGAAAATGAAAAAACCTTTGCTATCACTGTAAAAATAGATTAAAAATAAAAATCTAAACTTATACAAATGGTTAGGATTACTTTCCAACTAAGGACAGTATCCAACAGTGTCCCAGCACTAGGATTAACAGTGTTGCACTAGGGCAAACCAATGTTTGCACAATTTAACTGGTGCAATGGAAGCAAGTAGTTGATTTGCTGGTGGCACCGCAGCAAAAGAAAGGGGGCCTCTCTTCAAAATAGGATGTGTGCCCCTGTTGGATACTAACAGGAGGACCAAGGGACAGGGCTTTTTCTGAGGTAGCCCCCTATCTATGGAACAATCTCCCCATTGTACCCCATCTTTTCAGCACAGGCCTTTAAAGATTTACTTCACTACAGGGGCTTGAGGGGCTCCAAGGTGTTCTCCTTTTTACAGGGTCATTTCTTACAGTATGATTTCACTTTTTAATTGTTGAATGCTGCTTTGATTTTATGATATCTGTATTCATAGAATCATAGAGTAGTAGAGTTGGTATGGGCCAGGAGGCCATTGGGTCCAACCCCCTGTTCAGTGCAGGACACCAAGTTACACCATCCCTCTCAAATGCTTGCATTGTATTTTATTGTTTTGCTTTTACGTAAACTGCCCAGAGAGCTTCAGCTATGAGGTGGTATAGAAATTTAAATAACTAAATTGATCCCTAGGGCTACAATCTTTTGCCCATTTGCCTGGGAGTGCAAACCATTTAATGCAAGGGGCTTTATGTCTCACCATATGTGCTTAGGATTGCACATCTATTTTTCTGTTTCTGGTCCATTGAGTATATTTATTGTTCTTATTTTTATCTATTTATTGCATTTCTATACTGGCTTTCTTGGCTTACAGAATCTGCCTCCTCTTCTCCTTTTTATATTCAGAACAACTTGTGAGTTAGGTTAGTCTGAGAGCTTGTGACTGGCCCAAAGCACCCAGTGAGATTCATGGCCAACTTAGGACTAGAATCTGAGTCTCCTGAGTCCAGTCTAACCTGCAGACCACTCACCACACTGGCTCTCTTAAATTTCCATTCAAATATTTTGAAATAAGTTATATTGCTCCCACACACACATGCAAAACAGTTTTGTTGCACTGAGATGGAAATGCAAAGGAAGTCTATTGTTCATATAGTAAGTGTAATCTAACCACATATTATTATCCCTACCCCATCAGTATTTCTTGTCTCCATCAACAAATGATGGTAACTGACTTAGAAATGGGCAAGTTATTAACAAGGAAAGAATGGAGATCACATACAATGCATCATGTGTTCATCTAAAATAGATTATACATGTAAAGTGAATACATGTTATAGTCCTCCAACTAATAATCTGCTTGATGTTTCAGCTTGATTGCTGAACAATTTGACCTATTTATTTATTTATGTGCTCATATTATCACTTTAGCTACCAAATGTTTAGAAAACTGGTAATGGTGTCCTAAGTAATTAGAAGTATAATGAACAATGCATTAATGAATTTTTCCAGGGGCATAATTCATAGAAGATAGGAAGTGTTTCGGAGCACAGAATTCTTAATCAGGATGACCCATACCCATGAGAGTATTGGCAGGTGACACTAATACACCCTAGAAAGAAGCCATGATGGATTGGTTGTCATGTAAACAACCCATAGTGAGCTTGACAGAGGACTGAGCTCACCATCAGTTGCTATAGCCCTCCCCTCCCTCCACAATTGGTTCTCAGGGGGTACCATGGGGAGACCAAGTTGTCTTCTGCTCCCCCTTCAGGTTACTGAGGGACATTTTTGACTCACCATATCTTTGCCTATTGCCTCTCTCCCCCCGCCCCCACCACCACCCCAAGAACATGAGAGCCAGCTTAACAACTAGCTTTTGTAATACTATCTCAACAGACCCTCCAGAGCACCTGAACTTTGGAAGAACTCGGAACAGCTGTTTATGGGTGATAGAATATTTTAAAAATCTATATAACCAGTTGTGCAAAATTGTATGTTAATTTGGTTTTTAAATACTTTTAGCTGTACCTGCACAATTGCAAACTTTCTCAGTTCACAAGAGCTGGAATTTCAAGTCTTGGCTGGGGTGATGTCCAGGAGGTTTCTGCAGCCAAGGCTCCAAATTCCTCCCCGCAACATATTTCTCTTGGCAACTTCCAAAAGCTGACGTGTCAAGAGAAATCAAAGACATAAGTGCCCTTTGCTCGCAAAAAGGAGCCTGTAAATTTTATACTTCCTCCATGGCAAGATCCCCAACTTTAATTGTTTTCTCCCCTGGTAGTCCACATTTTGATACACAGTTTGCACCTTTTCCAAGCCTCTAAGTGCTTTTGCAGGGTAGCAAAGAGGTTTTGACAGCTAGCTCAGTGGCTTGTCACCAGGCAATGCGTAAGTTTGGCTGGCATATTTTTAGAGGGATCCAAAGTTTAGCCACACCTGCACAACTACTAGTTGTCAAAACTTCTTTTCATAAGAAGGGTGGGAAGAACTTTTGTTCCTCGGGGCTTTGGAAAAAGTGCAAAATGTACACCAATATGTAGACTACCTAAGGAGAGAAACAAAGGTTAGTATTATGCTGCCATAGGGGTAGAAATCACTCCTTGGCAGCAGGCATCTCTTTGGACATTACCCCAACCAAGTCTTCAAATTCCTGCACTTAAAAAACAAAAATACAACATTTCTATGGATTTTTGTGCAATTTTTGTGCCAAATAAATAAGCAAACCAGCTCTGCCAGCCATGGACAGCTCCTCCAAGGTGCTGTTCAAGCACTTTGAAGGGGCTGTCAGTGGGTGTCAAAACAAGCACCATGACATCAGTCAAGCAAGCTTCCTCCGTTATCAAGAGAAAAAGTTTAAAAGCTATGGGAAACCTGAAATACCTTGCAATTAGGGCACTGAAGTGAGGGAAGCCAATGCCAGCTGCTCTCAAGTGCTGCTTGGGTACCTTTTGGGCACTTGGCACTGGCAGTAACCCAGGCACCACTCGGCAAAAGCAGCAAGGGTTTTTGGCAGCTCATATATTCATATATATTAACATAATGGAACACATAATTCTGAAGTATTAACAAAACATCAGAATCCCATCTCACTCATTCTAGGGAAGAAAAACTACAAAAGACTATGCATTTCAAAATCCAAGACATATGACAAACCTGTATGTCGTCTTTGGTGTCGTTTCAGTTGATCTGAACGAGAGAACCTTCGTTCACAGTCCTTAAAGTCACACTGGTATGGTTTTTCACCTTAGGGAGGTGGAAGGAGTAAATAAGGTGGAAGGGTTTTTTGTTTTTGTTTTTGAAGCTCATGCTAAAACACCAGAGTAACTTGCACTCACGTATGCAAACCTACATTTTAAGGAGAGGAACACATCCAGGCAAAGTCAACATAACTTGTACTTCAGAACAGATAAATAAAGAAGGTGAGCACACCTTACCAAGGCCTATTGCACAAGGAAATGTCAAAATAGGAAAATAGTGCACTATCCAACAGGAACTATGGCAAGACTGGTTAATTTGTCACTGGTAGTCGGAAGAGGCAGCTGATGTTACCCATTCTGCCTATTAATTTCATGCTATACTTCATAACCCTTTTTCATCAATATTATCTCTATACTTAAAGGAACACGTGCATGTAAATTCTACTTTCTGTTAATTAGCAGATTAAATATACTATGTTTAACTAGGTTGTTGGTGGAATAGTAAGATTATCCAAAACATTTCATAACCAGAGGCTATGTGATATATCTCTGGACTATACAAGCATTACTGTTTTGACTCTTATGAATCTTATCAACTAACAAAATGACTTTTATATGGAAAATCTACTTAAAGCTGCCTTGACTGTCATTAGAAAGGCAGGGTACCAAAGAATCAGCAAAAGAAATCAGTTTGTTTGTGTGTATATACCTCCTGTAATAGCTTAAAGAATTTAATTTAAATGTTTGGGAAGTTTTCCTTTTCTTCTCTGAGTTTAGAAAAAGCAGGAAGCCAATCTCTGAAATTAGTCTTGTGCTATAATGGAAAAGATTTGTCATTTTATTTAGAACTACTTGAAAGAAATTGGCTGGAATATAATACAAATGTAGTCTCCTGTTAACATGGCATAAAGCAACAACTCTGATATACTAAATCTTTTCCAAAAGGCAGGTGTTATCATAGTATTAACAGTTCTTCTGGCAATATAGTGTGTGTAATGAAATCAAAACCTAAATGCAACTGTGGAATATGTGTCAGATAATTTTTATAACTTCCCCTGTAGTTACCCAAAGGGTTTACTGGACCTTAGATCCCCAAATGGGTTGTTTCTATGTCTATTCCATTTAATTTATCTATTCAGAATGTTGTAATTGTCTCACGTGTTCGAAATGGTTCCTTTCAAATCTGACCACAAGTTCTTCCACAGGAATGGTTGTGCCTTAAAACCAGTTCTGAAAAAGGCTTATGCCCTGGCAGATTTAAGACAAAGAGAGTTGGCGGAATAGAATGCACCAACCTGATGAGCGCTTCCTAACTGCAGTGCAAAATACAATGCTAAAGTATAGCTGAACACTCATGCTCATGCGAACCTGGTGAGTAATGGAGAGCCTTTTCATGCATTTATTGCCTAAATGTTCTACATGTACAAGCAAATATGCAAACATAGGTGCCATGCGGCTATACCTGTCAGTATATTACATGTCAATAAGCCACATATAATGTGGCTTTCAGCCAAGTTTCTGTGTGTTCTACTTGACTTATTAGTACTAGTACCGTATCTTACTTAGTGCAGACAACATGCTAGGCCTGAGTCATTTTGCTGAATGATGACACAGAGCATTCACGCCATGTTTCACCATACTAAAAAAGAGCTTTTATTTTAAAATGAAGAGTTGTGGCTGCTAGAAACATGTAGTAGATAATATTGTGCCAATTACACTTTGATCCATTTTCACATGCTAAATTGACATGAAATTCAGACATAAAAATTGGTAAGAAAATGTTTTTATAGTAGACTTGGACAGCTAAGTTGATTTTTACTTGATCAATTAGTGGGCAATGATTATGAGTTTCTGCCATTTTCAAAAATAGGATTTGCTTGCTGTGGCTGAATGGTATTGTCTGCAATTGCAGTATTTGGCAGAATCTAGATTTATCCCTGCAGCTTTTACAGCCTCACAGCCCCGCTGCTATTGGAAACACTTACTGAGGCTGACCAATTATACTGACCCACAACTCATGCTTATGAATAGTTTTATTGGTGAATAAATATGGTGCACAGGGTCTGAAGCAGGAATGGAATAAGGAATTTGGAAGATCCTATTCAGTCTAAGTAATGGATTGTCATTTTAGCATCTGTATTTGAAGTTTCATTGGATCTCAGGTTACATTTTATCCAACAGAAACTTTTGTTGCAAGTACCAAAGGTCTGTTAAATATTAGAGGAGAAATACTGTGAATGCTTCCTTTGATCATATGTTTTTGCAATGTCCAGTAGTCATCTCTTTTTTGGAGGCAATTGTAACACAGATAACATTTGTATTGTAACACTCTTTAATTTTCACTGGTGCATACATTCTTTTACATTATCTGTTTTCTAAACATTAACATATAGTGAGTGTAAATAGATTTTTTCACACCCTTTTGACAGCTAAAAGATGAATACTAGAACATTGGAAGGATAAACGCTCATTTTCCATAATGCAATGGATTGAAGACCTAATGATGCTCAAAAGAATGCACTTGGCAACACAAAGGGGGTAGTGGAGTAACATCTGATCCACTGAGGCTGCATTCATGAAGGTGAATGGACCAATTCACGGAGGAGAAGGCTATCAATGGCTACTACTTTTGATGGCCATATGCTACCTCCAATATTAGAGGCAATATGATAATGTGCAAAATTTGCTGGGGAACATGGGTGGGAAGGTGCTGCTCTTGCACACTTGTGAGTTTCCCATTGGGGCAGTTCGCTGGCCATTCTGTGTGAACAGAATAGTGGACCAGATGGACCCTTGGTCTGATCAGGCACAGCTAGTCTTATGTTCTCATAGATCACCATATGCCCATGCAGGAGACTGATGACATGCATTTGTGTACAGCAGCCATCTTATAGCAAGATAATTTTCAAGCGATGAACATCAGTAAGGCTCTTCCCATCCAACTCCAAAGTGGTGAAGACAGGTATCAAAGGATTACTAATGAAAACACTAGAATTGAAGACATATGGAAAGCCCTTCCGTGCTGACAATATGGGGAGTACCAGACAAGCTATGAAACTTCTACAGGAAGAAAGAATAACTACGTTTGTCTGTTTAATTGCTTTGTAGTTACGATGCAGAAACCCTCATTTTGGATACGTTTTTCTTAATATACCAGCCATCGTATAAACTTAAACTGGCCTCAAGATTAATTTCAGTGCATATATTCCAGAAACAACAGATGTGTTGCCAAGAAGCTGCTGGACTCCTACTCATTTTCTCTTCAAACCTTAGCCACTTCATACATGCCTGTCAAGACTGCAGACCAATACATATCCAGCTAAGTGAATTTTTAGGACATCTTCATCCGGACCACCATCAATTTTCTTTCCTGACACCAATGTTTTAGGTAACTATCAAAACTCCTGAAAAGTTCAGCTTCATAGCTAACTTCTCCATTGTTTGGTCCCAAATTTAAAATGGCATTAAACCCCCACTTCCAGGCCTTGGTAGCAAAGAGTCATAAAACACTTTCAAAAGTGTATTTTTGGAAAATGTATCTCCCCTGCCTCTCGGGATGGAGGGCAGAGAGAAATCACCGACACTCTAGAGATGCCATCCTTCCTGTTTTACATCAAGGTGTCATTACTGGAGTGCTGATATTTATCCTGGTGATTTTTTTAAGTCTTTGGCAAGCTCAGCAGTAACATCAGGTTTTTAATTTGTTTCCTATATAATAATTGCCTGTAGGCATTGATGCTTTGGTGCTCCCACCTTTGAGTCCTAGATACTACTGACAATAAGTCCCATCTTTCTGAGCCATAGGTTATGCTGGCTGAGGATGATGGAAGGCAAACCCAGGGAATAGCCTCTTAAGCAAACGTTCTAAAGTTGATCCCTGTTTTGGAGTACAATAGTCTACAGAGATCACTGGCAGTGAATTCACCTGCCTGATAAAGTCAAGGAGATTCTAGTCAGACCCATCTCAGCTTGAATAATGTGGGATAAACAGGTGCCAATGAATGCACTTATAGCAATGATATATGAACACATGCTGGAGAAAAGTTAAGTTAGTTTTCCCTTCCTTTCCCTTTCCTTGAACAGGTACCATGATTTCATAAATGAAGTCATTAATATGAATCTTTTCACTTAAGAAAATGCTAATTTTCAAACTAAAAAAAACTAGTATTAGAACTGTTCCTACAGTATCGATCGATTTTGTTTATTTGTTTATCGATTTATATCCTGTCTTTTTCCTACAAAGGGCTCAAGGCAGCTTACATCATTCTCCTCCTCCATCTTATCCCCACAACAACAACCCTGTGAGGTAGGTTGGGCTGAGAGTCTGTATGACAATTTAGTCTATTTACAGTGTGTTTACAGTCAGTCTGAGAGGAAAACTCTGAACAAAGTATTATTTTTTGCGGGGAAAAACAAAACCCGAAACCACACATCAAGTTCCAGAAAATCTTCAACACATGATTCATTGTTGCTGGATCTTGTGAATGGCAGAAATCTTACCACGACCTTATCTGTATTATTGTTAATACTGTTCTCTTATCTGTGGATGCTCCAGTGTCCTTTTGACTGTTTCAATAATGGTATTGTTAATACTAAGAAGGCACTCAGCATGCAAAAGCAGCACGGAATCTTGAAGCCTTAAGCACGAAGAAATTTATCCTGGCAGTCATAGCTGGCATGAGATGTCAGCAAAATCTGTGTGGTAACATTGATAAACATTGATGTGAATTACAGTGTTGTATATCAGAGCTCTGCAGATAGCAACAATATCTGAAGGAGTCGTCTGCAAAAAATGCAATGAGTCAGTTGCCTATAAATGGTTAGGTAATGAGAAACCGGAATCTTATGATCCACTTTTTTCATTTTTGTAACAAAATTACTGCCAGGCTTTCCCTGCCTCTAAAATATAAAACTATATTTTTAAGCAAACTGCACTGGAAAAACATCAAGTCCTATAAATTCATGTCGTATGATGTATGCAAGCTTTCTCATCCTATAAAATTCAAACCATCTTGTGGCACCTTGAAGGCTTATATATTTATTACAGCATAAGCTTTTCTGGACTACAGCCTGTTTCACTCTACAGAAGCTAATGCTTGTGACTGGTTGGTTTTGCAGCAACGATTTTGTTATTTTGGCTGCAACAGATGCACACATTACACTTCTGGAACTTAGTTCCTATGGATGTATTGTGGCCAGCAGAATGGATACTTTCCTCCACTGTCTCTGGCATGCACCCCAAATTTGCTCCAGGGAACTGGAGGACCTCTCAAAGCAAAATCGGCTTGTGCACAAGGGGCCGCAGGAAGGAGAAGCGGAAGGGAAACTCCCATCATGAGAGCAGAAAGTTACTTGCATAATGTTGGATTTTGCTGTTTATGGCCATTTGAGCTCTGGGACAATGCCTGACAAATAAAGCAGTTGTGCTGTCCCTGCAAAGCAGTGTGTATGCACATGCATACACATGCACGCACACACACATGCAAACATACACAGAGAGAGAGAGAGAGAGAGAGAGAGAGAGATGCATGCCACATTCTATTTATGATCTGCAGTCAATGAATATTGATCTCTCAAGCTCCAAAGGTCAATGGACAGACTACCAAAGGGCCCCATTACCAGCACAAGGGCTCCAAGAGATATATTCGGGCTATCATACAAAGACAGTTCCGCAGTCCACGAAGACACTCACCAGTGTGCTTTCTTCCATGCATCTGCAGATGAGACAGTTTAAAATATCGCTTGTTGCAGCCCGGGTATACACACATGAAAGGCCGTTTCTCATTTGTCTCACTGGCTGATCTAACAATCGTAGGAGCTACTCCAGGCACTCGCCGCACATCCTACAGTGGCATAAAGATAATGGATTTGCAACATGAAATAGATAATTTGATCAATTAATCTGAAGGACTGGAATAGGTGTAGTGCATCCAGGAATCTCTGCTCCACACAAACACCAAATATATGAAGATTAATCATAATCCTTTATTAATTAATAAACAATTAAATATTAAATATTCATTATTAATTCCACAGAAAGAGCTGTAATGTACTGTTATTCTCACCAGTAGACGCTCAAACCTTTAATTAGTACCTCATGACATCTAAAGAGCTAGACTTAACATTAGGGAATGTGTAAGGTCACGTTCTGGTTTCCCATTTAGCTAAATCTAGCAGTTAGTCAGTAATTTAGTTACAAATGTATTCTAAAAAAGATTTGCAGTTTCCATTCTTTTTTCTTGAGTCTGCGCTCAACAGTGAATTTATATTGTTCTTCTGTGGAATAAAATAGTTCCTGATTAAGATTTTTTTTTCAACTGACACAGTCAGATTAAAGAATTGTAGTGATTAATAGCAGCCAGGTAATCCATCCAGAATTATACATTCTCTCCAATATACTCACTTGTATTCCTCTAAAAACTCCATGGGTGTGTATTCTATATTGGGCACCACAGCTGTATAACATGGGGCCTGCATGATTATCATTTTCATATCCTGCTGCGTGGCTGAAAATAAAAAGCGGCCAAATATTGGAAATTCAGTATATTTAGTTCACAAAATGCTATGGAAAATGCTTGCAATGCTGCTTCTTTCAGTGCTGAAACAGTTATAATCCAAATATCCAGTGAAACAGAGTGAAGGAAAATACGTGACTATATTTAAAACACAGATTTCAATGAAAGAAGACAAGATTTGTCTAGTTGTTTTAAAATGTGATTAGCAAAGAAAATTAGTGCAGATGAAGGAAGATACAGAGGAACAAAGAAAGTTAATGCTGTGCATGCGTGCAAGTTATTAATCAGCTAAATGCCAACTTGGCTATTGCTAATATCTGTGGAATGAGCAAAATGCTTCAGGTTTCACATTAAGTGCAGTGGGGTTTTGTCAGCACCTCATGACTCAGAAATAACCAGATAGGGCTGAGAAAGTGATGACATTTACAAGAACAGCCGTGGTGCAGCCACAGGATAGAATTACAAATCAGTGTCCTAACTATTTAACCCACATATCAGGTTGGAAGATGTACTGAAGATTAACCTTTAGTAAAATCAACAAACAGGGAAATTGTTCCCCTGTGGAAATCAGGGATCTTTTTGACTTTCAGTGCAGCAAGAATTCCACCCAACCAATTAAAAAAAGTATTTAGGGCTTTAAGTAAAAGGCTAGAAATCTGAACTTTGCTGAGATATGTATCACAATATGCAACTTTCCCTGCATATAAATCTATTCAAAACTTCTGATAGCTAATTCCATGAGTTAAAACTATAGTCCCACTTTACTGTTATACTGCAGCAGGTCCTGGTAAAGCAAAATGTCAGAGGTACCTACTGCTTCATGGAAAATAAGATTTAATGCAGAAACAGATTTGCTGTAAAATCAGCCTAATGCTTTCATCTTAAACACACATTTATGAACTAAATGTGCAATCCTATGCATGTTCAGACAGGGGAAAATATCTACAACTTCTGCCATGCCTCACCCTGCCATGCTGGCTGGAGAATGCTTCAAGTTCTAAGACTTTTATCTGCCTAAACGTGCATATGATTGCCTGCTACTTATCACAGATTTTAAGAGTCTATACATACCATCATATACTACTGAGTAGTCACAACATTTAAATCATTGATACTCAACTTTACTCCTAGCCAAGGACCTACTGAAAAGGAAACAAAAAATCTGATGCAGATCTGGCAAAAAACAATTTATTCCTATGATACCTAATATAATGATCATCTGATCTTTAGTTCCTGCTGTTATTTAAAAATGATATCCTCAAACATCACAGGATCAAAGGAAGTCTCTCCAAGGATCACATGCTATAGCATATAGCATTGTGATAATGGGGTTGGAAAGCCTAGCACAAAGTCGCCAAAATATGAAGGAAAAAGGGCCTGAATAAAAGAAGCAAACTCTGATCTGAAAAGCAATGAGAAACTGTGAATGCTGTCATTATTGATCAACGTTTTAGAATAAACAAAGTATATTTCTATCCAAAAGAATTTTCCAGCTTTTTTCAAGTACAAGATCAACCTCATGCCATTAGTGCAAGCTTATGGAAATATGCAAGTGATTTTGGTGGTAAAGAAATTTGAACTGACAATTCAGGCAACTCGGACAGCTTATTTCAAGCCCTAGGAAAGATGTATAGACACAGAGAGCCACAAATTAGCTTGAAAAATGTTAAGCAAGCACTTATTTTTCTGTCTGAAAGCCAAGGAAGTTCTTAAAAATTGGACGGAAGGTTTTTTTAAATTATTAATCAGAATTCTGTTTTGTTTGTACAAGACTGCTAAAAATCACACAGAATAAAGTGTGTGATGAGAAACAGAGCAACTCTGAAGAATAATTTCAAAGGAAATCTCCCAGCATGATTAAATTCTAATTTTAAAAGCATGAAACTTCAATTACTTTCTTATGCTATCTTCTATTTTGCTACAATGGCATTTTTCATTTAATTCATAAACTATCATTCCATGTACTAAGTTTTTTTGTACTGGGCACAGGAACAAATTAGCCAATATCATCATGAAATATGAATACTGAATGATTCATCATTATCAGTCTTGAATTGTTTCCCCCTCCCAAAAAAAAAAAAAAAAAAAGCCCATACGGAGAAGATTACACAGAGCAGACTCCACACTGAGCTAAATTTGAGCACGTAGACAGCTATAAATATGAACCACAACAACAATACCACTTTCGTTAAAATGAATAAGAATGCAATATGTCCCATTGGATTAAAAGTTATTAGAACACTGATAACTATACACCACCAGCTGCTGTGACAATAATGCTACTATAAGCAGATCCATTCTTCTATAAGTTTGAACATTATTTTTAAACAGTTTAAGGGCATAATCCTATGCTGCCTGGGAAACACTTGCTGGTTGGCACCTTGCGTATTTGTTCAGGTGTTCTCCTTGCCCAAGTTAAGGGCTACAATCTCTGTCCACAATCCAGAACAAGGTTTGATTTCAGTAGTCTTAAGTAGGCCTGACACTTTGCTGAACTGCATTCGTTAGCCTCGAGCCAAAGATGCGCTTGTGCAAGCAGAAGGCACTTTTGCCCTGACGAGGTATGCCTATTTCCTCCAGACCCCCTGTCCTGCTGCCACTCCATTACATCCCTCCCAGATGCCACTCCGTCCCCAGCTTGCAGGATGCACTGTGGGAATGCAGAAGGCTACAGCAAGGAGGAAGAGAGGGAAAGTCCCCCTCTATGAGCAATGCTCTGTTCATGCATCTTAGGATCTAAGCCTTTGTTTATTGTAGCAGTCTTTAAGTTTTGGCACAGAATTTAAGAGTCTGGATCCAAAATGCAAGTTTAATTGTGTTCAGGCTTGGAAGTGTCACTAGGCAGATCCCAGAAAATGTCATTATGGCAGGTCCCTGACATATGCTTGGGGCTAATGTTCTAGCTCAAAATCCTTAAAATGATTTGTATGGAGAAAGTGTGTGTGTGTGGGGGGGTACTTTTTATCAACTGGCCATGGAAAGTACCTTTTAGTGTGGGATGGGGGAACATACAGCTTGATCCCTTCAGTAATGTGTTATAACAGTTAATGCACTTCTGAATGCTGTCAAATTATTTCAAAAATTATTACATTACATTACATTAAAAATGTGTTTAGCTCATGAAGAACTAAACATCATCCTTTATAGTGACTTTTTTTTTTCAGACACCATTTAAACTAAGGTGGCAGTGACATGCCAAAAAAGTTCTTTTTCCAAATGGAATCATTGCAAGCAAGGGGAGCTCTATCTACAGTAGAACACCATTGTGGTATTTATCCAAAACACATTTATTGCAACTAAGACTCATGCTAATAAATACAGAGTATGTGAAAATATGAGCTTGTGTCAAACACAAATGCAGTTGGTGAAAGGGAAGTGTCAGAAAAGGGGTGTGTGCTGGGAAATAGCCCCTTCAGATTCCTTTGTTTCTATGCTTATTTTTTAGCTCAATTAGCTATGCAAAGGCGTGAAAGAGCAAATTGACAAGAAGGAAAATCAAATTGACAGTTCTTCCAATCCCTTCACAGAAGAAAGAGAAAGCGTGCTGTTGCTTACTCCTGTCCTTCCAGCCCCCTTCCAGGTCCTTCACTAGGTGAAGCCAGTGGGACCAACACCCCCTTTGCCTTGCACCCAAAACAAGCAAGAACAGCCTCCTCCTGTGCAGAATTTTCTGTGGGTCAGCTCCATTGAGATGAATATGGTTTACTTGTGAGCAAGTCATGGAGGATGATCTGTTTTACTTCTGAGTAGACATATATTTCAGCTAGTTATTGTTGCTAGCTAGTTGAGCAAGACAAGAGAGACTTGAAGGGAAGGCTTGAAAAGACACCACAAACTTTATTTTTCAAAGGAGGCGCAGGAGTTATGTGCAATTTGCAGGAGTCAGAGGCAGGCAGCAGGCAGGCAAGCAACTGAAGGATCTCCGAGTTGCTGCTATTTGCCAAAGCCCCATAAAATGCTTCCACTCCCCCACCCCTCAGCAGTCCACAGCAAGGTTACCACATACTAATATATAGGCTGGAAGAAAACTGCAACTAAGAAAAGATTGTGATATCACAGGTTTGCAGAAATCACAGTTATATTGACAGAAACAGTGCAAGGAAGACAGATTGGGGGTATCATGCAACACATCACTGAGTGAGGCATTACAATGCCAACAAGGTTGCCCTCATCAAAAAAGTATCTGATGAAGAAAAGATATTGTGACCTGTGGTATTATTTAAACATTGTTTCTAATGCTTAAGTAGGAATAATAATCAAAACTTAGTTGGCAGTGATATACAGAAGTCACATTCCTCTCCATTTTGGCTTTGCTTAAAAGGGTCATGACAGGCTGCAATGGGATGAGAAATTGGAGAAGCGCTTTTGTCAACAAGGAACACTACATGCAGTTCCATGCCAGTGAAATCAGGACAAATGAAAAATGTTATGCAAGCATGTGATATTTCAACTCCATTTATTTGGAAGGAGTATGAGATGTATAGCTGAATGGACTTTATATTATATTTCACTTGAGCATTTTACAAATTCATAAAATGGCATTTATCAACACAGGAAATTTCATGTGTATGAGAGAAAAAGACAACTTATTCACAATTTTTATTTATTTATTTTTTTAAAGATTTTGTATGCTGTCCCCTTGCTATATAGCCTTGGGACGGCTCACACAGATAAATAAATATAATACAAATACAGTTAAAACCTGGAAACACCAGGAAATTTTTGATGTTTTTAGTTCTATTTTCCCTATCTGTGGCACAAAAGAAAATCTGATTGAGCTGGTGAAGTACACACAGAAATTGTGGGGAAAAAAAACAGATGGTCTGAGACATCTATTACTCCCTATTGTTTCTCAACAACCATTGAGAAAATTGCCTAGTTCAAATCAGAATGCAATGGCTTGTTTTTCCAATCTGTATAATGTCTGGAATACTATGATACACTTTAATAATACTAGCAGTAGTAGTAAACTGATTTTTGTTTTATTTTGA